GGGAGAAGCCACTGCTAATTCCCCTGTAGCCCCTCAGCCTGAGGTGTGTCCAGTCCGGCCGGCCCTGGCCACCCCACCACTCAGGGCACTGAGTTGTGTTCACCGGACACAAGGCTGTGCCCCAGGACAGAAGGCTGTGCCCCAGCCAGGCCAGTGGGGACGGGGGGTGGCGGACCTGCACTCCCACTGCCCAGTACCAGGGCTCAGAAGGCCCAGAAAGGTGAACGCTGGCCCGCGGTCACCCGAGGCAGGAGGCCTGGCTCTGCTGGACCAGGTGTCCAGGGCACGTCGGGAGGAAGGTCAGCCTCTCATCCTCCAGCCAATGGCGTGGCCAGACTCCGACCGTCGTTCCTGATGAGCCTAGGATCCCAGGGAGTGTCGGGCTGCCACCCCGCACGGCCCCTCCCAAGGCCTCTGATGCACCTGGGGCTGGGACCCTCAGCCACCACCCTGTCACCTGCTCAGGAGGCGCAGGGAAGAGCCCAGGGAGGAACATGGCCATCAGCTGCCTCTACCCCACACCCATTTCTCCCCCACCCCTCCTCTGCAGCGGGGGTCTCAGCTCCCCACTCAGCCCCCCCTGCACGAGCCTGTGCCTCCTTTCCTAGGCCAGCAGGACAGATGACACCCAGAGAAAGGGGCCCCCAACACCGGCAGTCCTGCTGCTCATTCCTTGGCTCCCCTACCTTGTTTGTTTGGGGAGGGGGCTCACACGGGGCAGTGCTCAGGGCTAAGCTCCTGGCTCTGGGTTTGAGGGACCATCTGGCGTCTTTTTTTTTTTTTTCATTTGGGCCACACTTAGTGATGCTCAGAGGTTGCTCCTGGCTCTGCACTCAGGAATTACTCCTGGTGGTGCTTCGGGGACCGTATGGGATGCCGGGGATCGAACCCGGGTCAGCCGCATGCAAGGCAAACACCCTGCCCACTGTGCTATCGCTCCAGCTACCCATCTGGTGTCTGAAGAGGCTCTGCAGCCCTGGGGGGGGTCAGTGCTGTGAGGAGCAGGGAGGCTGGGGCCAGATGGCCCTGGGGGGGCAGAGGTGAGTCGAAGCACAGGGATGGACTCAGAGGGATGCCCAATGCCTCAGCTTGGGGGCAGCACAGCCTCGGGGCCGTCCCTCGGGTCCAAGACGCCAGCAGCCTCCCCAGAAGGACTGAGGGCTTCTCCTCGCCACTCTGAGCCCCACCCGCCACCGTGTCTTCATCATCTCTCTTGGGCCCCTCTGGCCACTCGGCCTTGCGGGGTTCACACCCCAACTCACACCATCCTGGCTGTATGGGGGTGCCCGCTCCCTCCACCCCTGCGGGAAGGCAGCACCAGGGGTGGGCCGAACGCAGGAGCGAGCCCCGCTAGAGAGCAGGGGAGCAGCCTGGTCCTTGACGTCCGTGTCCAGCTGTCCAGCCTGGGGGAAGAGACCAGCCCTTGAGGGGCGGGCAGGGGGTGCTCAGCCCAGGTCCTAGGATGCGGGCTGGGACACGAGTCCAACAGGAGCCTCTCGACGTGCTGAGGCGCCACAGCCCCTGCCCGGGACCCTCCCCCCAAGCCTGCAGGAGGACGGAAGCAGGACCCTCGGCTGCGGCTGTCCGCTGGTGCTGGCTTCCTGTCTGCCGGGAGGTGAGTAATGTCCGCTCCCCACCCCCGAGGCATCCCTTTGGGAGGCCAGGCCTCACATTTTCCGCTCAGGAAGGGGCAGAGCAAGGGGCCCCGCAAGGCACATTCAGGGGAACAGGAAGGAGCGGATCCCGGCCTAGTCTGGGCCCACTGGTCGTGGCGGGAACCCCAGCCTGGCCCGATCGTGCTGACCACTGGGGGACCCTGGCCAGGCCCCATCCAGCTGACAGTGGTGGGGACCCCGGCCTGGTCCTGCTGTGATGGGAACCGTGATCTAGTCCCGTCCTGCTGACCGCAGCAGGGACCCTGGCCTGGCCCCGTCCTGCTGGCAGTGGGTGGCTGGGTCCCCAGCCTGGCCGTGGAGCCAGCGCTGATGCGGCTTGCAGGCTCAGATGCCCACGCCCGTGCCGGCACCCCCTTCACTCCCCACCCTGACCCCTGCTGTGCACAGGGTATGTGGGCTGGGGAGGGGGGTGGTGATTCTGGCAAATTCACCCTAACCACAGTGTCCCCAGCTGATTCTCCACACACAGCCTTCTCTCGGGCCTTCCCTCACCACCCCCTCCTGAAGGCCGCACCTGGGCTGAGGGTTCGTCCAGGCCCCAAGGATGACCCCGGGGCGCTGCCTGGACTCAACGACGCCCAGTGCCTCAGCTTAGGGGCGGCGCAGCACCAGGGCCGTCCCTTGGGTCCCAAGACGCCGGCAATGGGGAGTCGCCTCAGCTTCCGTAGCCCACTCCTAGGGGAGCCCCCCTGGTGGCCCGTCCACCAGAGAGGAAAGAGGAAGACCCCAGAGTCCTGGGCCCACTGCCGGGGAGATGTGGGAGGGGGCTCCCCGCCAGGAGTGCACGGTTGGCTTGGGGAGCAGGAGACCGGCCTGCTGAGAACACGACCTGCTCCCAGCACCTCTTTGCTGAGAAGTGGGCGGGGGCTGGCGAGTGCCACGCGATCCCTGGCGCCATATGCAATCCAGCCCTGCCAGGAGCAAACCCCGAGAGTGCGCGGGTTGTGGCCCCAGGACAAAACACATGGAAGCCGAAGAGGAAGGCCCCGACTCCCAGCCCACCACCTGCTGTGGACCGTGTAAGCTGCCCCTTCCCCCGCCCCCCCCCCCCCCCCCCCCGCCCAAGTGCTCCCAGCTGTGCGGCAGGAGCGAGACAGCCTGGGCAGGCCGTGGGAACTCCCATTCTGGGCCAGGCTGGAGGGCTCAGAGAGGACTCCTCGCTCTGTGCTCAGGGATCACTCCTAGAGGGGCTCTGGGGAGCACATACGGTGCTGGGGATCAAGCCAAGCCCCTTGAGTGCAAGGCAAATGGCTTCTCCAGTCCCTAAACCTGCTTCCTGGCCCAGACTGGGGGGGTCCCCAGAAACAAAGGGTCCAACTAGCCCCCCCGAGACGGGTGGGCCGGGCCTGCAACCCCCTCTGGAAGGGGGGTTTCAGGCTCAGCTCTCAACCACAACACGTTTGTGCCCTTCTCACCAGGGCCGCAGCGCCCAGCAGGCCTGCTCCCCACCCCCACCCCCAGGCACAGACACCCAACTCTGAGCCGGACCCCCAGAGTTGGCGGGATGAGGAGGCCTCCAGAGAAGGCCGCCTGACGGTCAGGGAGGGGGGGGCCCTGGAAGGTGGAAGTGGGGTGCAGAGCCGAGGAAAGCCCCGCCCCGTCTACTCTCTGACCGGTGGACGGGAGCGGGGTGGAGGCCGCGCTGGCCGCGCCTTCGGGGAGGGCAGCTGGGGCAGGGCTGGGACTTGGGCCCGACCTGAAGCCCATGGGGCACCCGCTGCTCTGCCCAGGCCTGAGAGAGACACTAATGGCTCTAGGCCCCGGCAGGGAAGCAGACACCAGGCCCCAGCCAGCTGGACCTTCTCGACGCCCCCCCCCCCCACCCCTGGGTCAGCTGTGCACTCGGGCCTCGGGGTCAGTGGCTGAGCTGACAGCCTCGTGGCCACCACCATCCTGCCTCCTGCCCCGACAGACAGCCTCCCTGCCTGCGTCACGCTCAGCCCAGCCCCCCACGTCCACCCAATCTCTCGGCCTCCTCCCCCCCCACCCCCCGCCAGCCGCCGGGTACAGTGGCCACGAGGCTGAGGGAGCCCTGTCGCCCCCCACTGCTCCCCCCAGCACTTCCCTCTGCCCCTCATCCTGCCCCGCCCCCGCCCCCAGCCCCACAGGAAGTCTCCGGGCCAGGGCCAGGGCGTGAGGAGCTCATGACTTTGGGGAGCGGGAGGGGGAGGTATGTGGGCCCGTCCGGTCTCCAAGCACTCTGGATCCTTCTCAGGAAGACAGACCCACAGGCGCAGGTCCGGCGGAGCGGGTGTGACCCCCGATCCGTTTAGAAGAAGGGGGGGCCGGACAGCCACTGGACACTTCCCAGGCCCCAGAGCCCTGCCCCCAGCTGTGGCCGCGTGGGGGAAGGGGCGCTGCACACGAGGGGGGTCGTGCTGGCCTTACTCTGGCGTCAAGGCACAAAAAGCCCTTTCTTCACCCCAACCCCCCCAGCAGCCGCGCCCGCAGCCCTCACGGGACCAACCCCTGGACTCCCCAGCCCCTGGCCCGGCGGTCCCAGCTGCCTCCCTCCGGGCAGGCGGTCCACCTCCCAGACAAAGCCGGATTCAGGCAGGAGGGAGGCGGCCAGGAGGACGATTCCGCCATGGAGACGAACTTTGACCCGCACTTCGAGGCTCCTACCCCCTATTTGCTCTTTAAGGCTAACCCGCGGCGGAGTTAACATTACACCCCTTTTTAACCCTGCGCCTCCCTCTCAGCATTCCAGGCCCCGACCTTCGACCCCTCCTAATGGCCGCGCTACACCCCAGTTCGCTGGCTCTTCACTCGCCATCCATCGATCCCATCCCGGAAACGGGAGCCAGGCCGGGGTGGCCCACGCCCACTGCTTCACCTGGGGGCGGGGCCCGGAGCCCCCCACGCTCCCCCGCCCCATCCCACCCCACAAGAAGGGAGCCCCTGGGATGTGGGAGAGGGGAGGGGGCAGAGGCGAGGGGACGGTCCACACAGCTCCCCAGCCAGGTCACGGGCTGGGGGTCCACGCGGGACAATGTGGACCCTGGCTTGGCGACTCACACGGAGCCAGAGGCCCGGCCTTTCCTCACCGAAGGGCCCGGGTCCAGCACACTTGTCCCTTCCCTCAGCCTCCGTGGAGGCGACTTTGAGACCTGTCCCCGACCCAGCCTGTGCCCCACGGCCCCAGGGCACACACCACCAGGTCTGATGAGCTCTTTCCCAATGCCCTGGAGTTGCTGCTTCTTGGGGGGGCCTGGGCCCATGGCAGCGGGCCATGCCATGCAGAAAGTCTCGGCACCCTGGAGGCCCCCCCGAGGCGCAGGTTCCGGGCCCCGCCCCGCCCGCCAGCCACTCGCGGCCACTCACCGTCCTCCTGGCTGTGGAGGTTCTGGGGGCTCCTCATCCTCTCGTCCTGGCTGGGGCTCAGGCTGGAGGCCAGGTGCGGGTCAGCTGACATCCATGTGGAGTCGTTCATATCAAAATCCTCGCTGCTCACAGAAGTCTCATCCTGCCGGGCAGAGGCGGCAGGGCTCAGCGGGGCCCAGCCCGGCCCAGCACATCTGGACGTGGCACCAGAGGCCACGGCGGGGCGGGGGGGGGGGTAACCTCCAGCCCCGCGTCCCCCACCCCCCCAGTGGAAGTGGCCTGCACTCTGGTTCCTGTCGGAAGCTGGGGCCAGGCTGGAGCCCAGGCTGGGCCCGTCTGTAATTGAAGACAATTACGAGGTCTCACATCCTGTGGGGCGCTAAGGGGCCTGGCCCTTCCCCGGGAGCCCAGACTGGGAGCAACACAGTAAACAAGGGCCACCGCACCCCCACGCCCGGCCTGCAGCTCACCCAGGGCCCAGGCAGCCCAAAGTGGGGAGCAGAGCCTGGGGGGGAGGGGGGGTGAGCACGCTGGCCGCCCCCACCAGCTGGCCGCCTCCCGCCTCCCAAGGAGCATACATGGAATTCCTCTCTCCCACTCCCCCGGCCCAGAGGACATTTCTGTCTTCCTCTTCCTAACCTTTGCTGGGCTTCAAAGATAGGCTCTTGGGCAGCTTCCAGACCTGCAAAGGCCAGCCCCGAAGTGTGGGGAAGGAAGGGGGTGGGGCAGGCCAGGGCTCGGGGGTTCGGCTCTGGGCCCTGGGGGGCCGCCAGGGCCTTCCACACTTCCACACGGCCGGGAGGCCTGCCGGGGAGGACCACGCCTGCCTCCTGGCCCCTGGCTCGCTCTGAGAGCCTTTGGCCAGTCATCTGGGAACCCCCGGGGTGGGGCCCCCTTCCATCCAGCCCTCTGGCGGGAAGGGACCCAACCTCCCTCCCGGTGGACCGGCCTCTTTCAAGAGCAGCAACTGTGCCTGGGAACTCGTGGAAAACAGCAAAGACGAGGCCAGCAGCCCCATACCCCACACCCGCTCAAGCCTGGCAGCCGGGCCCCGCCCTCTCTGCGCCACCAGGTCCCCCTCCTCCTCCCACTTGGAACTTTCCTGGGCTGCCGATCCCCGGGCGGACACATCTGCTATCCAAGTGCCGGGGAGCTGGCATGGTCAGCCCCTGCCCTGCCACGGGGGCTGGCACGCAAATTCCTGGCATTCACGGCTTCCCTGCACGGCACCCTCTGCCACCAAACGCGGAGATGTGACCAAGCCTGGCCACCAGCTCTGCTCAGCTGGGAAGGGTGGGGGGGAGCCAAGCAGGAGTCTGGGGGAGAAGGGAGATGGGGAACCCTCAGGGGGCCCCTCCCTCCCAGTCCCTGCCGCGGGACCCCAGCTCCTCCGACACTAGGGAGTCCAGGGTCATCTCCCCAAGGCCCCTCACATTCACTGGGGTGCCTGTCTGCGCGGGCCTGGATGGCACAGCCCCACCAAGGGCACTCTCCGCAGAGCAAAGGGCTCCCTGCCCCTGCCCCGCTGGAACAGGAGGTGCCCACCACGCCCAGCGCAGGGTAGGTGCCAAATCTCCTGGCCCCCGGGCATGCCGCACCCCCCCCACCTGCGACCCCCTGCAGCCTGTGCCTCCACCTGCCCCGTCCACTCACCCCCAGGGATTTCCCAAGCAGGGGCTCTCCTCGATGTGGAATTCCAGATGCTCTGGGCCGGGGGGAGGTGGGGAGGCAGAGGGCACGGCTGCAGGGAAGCACATCTGAGTGCCAGCCACAAAGGGAAGTGGCCCCCAGCAACTGAGGCGACGCGGGTGGTCAGTGACAGGTGGGGTATGGGAAGCCCCTCTGAGGGCCTGCCATAGTGTGAGAGGGGAGGGTGGCCATGGGGGGTGGCCATGGGGAGCACGGGCCGTAGGGTGCCGGGAATAGCCAGGTACTGAGCGGTCACGGGGCAGCGTTGCCCCCACTCCAGGCAGAATTTTGTCCAGCTCAGAGGCGGGTGAGGGTCCACTCAACACACAGGGGTCTCGTGGGGCAAGGGAAAGGCAGAGCACACCACCCAGCTCACGGTGCCCCACTCTGCCCAGGAACTGAACAGTCTCTCCCCAGGAGGGGTGGTCTCGCTTCGCCTTGCCCAGGTCGGTCGGGAAAGTCCAGAGTCTGGCCTCCTTGCACAGGAGAGCAAGAGCCACAGGAGGGGTACAACCCTCAGGTCACCCCCTCCCCTGCGCTGCCTCCCAGCCTTCAGGCTTACGGTCCAGCTCCTCACCTAGACCTACGTGCTCTGCAGCTCTGCCACAGGGGTCCAGGCACGCCCCTTCCTCTGTGGCATCCGGCCAGCTGCCTCCACTAGGCCCTCACAGAGCCCCGGGCTTGGCCCAGAGACGCGGGAGTCCTGCCCAAGAGTGCCCAGTGGCCTCTGTTTCCTGGGCCCCCATGAGGCCAGTGAGGCTGAGCCCTTCCCACTGCCCGGCTAAGAAAGAGGACGCGCCATGAGTCAGACGACCGGGGACCCCACTCATCATCCTGGAAGGGGGACCACATGTGGGGGACAGTCACTGCCAGCTCACCATCTCTCACTCACAGCTGCACCAGAGTCTAGGCTTTTTTCAGGCTCAGGTAACTTCAAGATCCACCAGTGATGCCCCCCAGCGCCAGCTCTGACAGGTCCAAGGGGTCCGAGAGGGGCAGTACTCAGATAAAGAAGAGCCCAGTACACGCTCTGGTCTTTCTACATCATCTCACCATCGCCCTGTTTGGTTTTTTTTGGGGGGGGGGGTCACACCTGGCAATGTTACTCCTGGCTCTGCACTGAAGAATTACTCCTGGCGTTGCATTCAGGAGACCATATGGGATGCCGGGGATCGAACCTGGGTCGGCAGTGTGCAGGGCAAATGCCCCACTCACTGTACTATCACTCCGGCCCTCCATCGTCCTCTTTGAACAACCCGAGATCTGCTACCTGTCCCGGGAACAGCGGCCCCAAAGCACCAGAGCTGGTGGTACAGCAGGGATGTGGGAACAAAGACGGCCGGTGCCAGAGCCTGGAGCACAAACCACCACACCCAGGGGCCTCCTCACCATGCTGCCCCTACAGCTGCAACAGAGCAAAGGCCTCCTAGTGAGACCCCGGGGGGACCCCCCGGCCACACGCTTGCCTCCCGGCTGGCTCTCCCCAGCCAGGCCAGATGTGCTGGATTTGCATCTCCTGTGTGCAGGGACACAGAATGACGACGGTCTGCTTCCTCTAAGCAGACAGAGTGGCCGATACTCCGAGGCTCCTCCAAACCAGGTGGGAAAGGGCTTGCGGGACCTTCTCCCCAACCCTCCGCCGACCGCAGAAAGGCGCTCGGACACACGGAACTCCGTTTTGTGACCTTTGATTTCAGACGTAGATCCTGTTACTCTATGGCTCACAGTAATTTTTTTTCTAAAGGGGAGAAATTTAGTCATCTCGCCAAATTTTAAAAATATAGACAGGGGCTAGAGTGAGAGCACCGCGGGCAAGGCACTTGCCTTGGTGTCGCCAACTCAGATTTGATCCCCAGCATCCCACACGGTGTCCCAAGCGCCACCAGGAATGATGCCTGAGTGCAGAGTGCAGAGCCAGTAAAGTGCCGTGTGTAAGTCACCTGGCCTTGCGCTCAGCCAACCCAGGTTGATTCCTGATCCCAGATCTCCCAAGCACTGCAGACTGACCCCTGAGCACCACCAAGTGTGGCCAGAACTCAGACAGAAAAAAAAGCAACAAAATCATTCAAAACAACAGGGGGCTGGAGCAGTAGTACAGAGGGTAAGGCATTTGCCTGGCACATGGCTGCCCCGGGTTCGATCCCCAGCACGCCACACGGTCCCCTGAGCCCCGTCAGGAGTGACCCCTGAGCGCAGAACCAGGAGTAAGCCCCGATGGTATACAGGTGTGCCCCCCAAAACACTAATAATGACAAAACACACTAAGTCTTGGGTGTTTTTTTATTTTTGGGTCACACCTGACGATGCACAGGGGTCACTCTTGGCTTTGCACTCAGGAATTACTCCCGACGGTGCTCAGGGGACCATACGAGATATATGGGATGCTGGGGATCTAACCCAAGTCGGCCGCGTGCAGGACAAACGCCGCACTATCGCTCCGTGCCCAAAATGCACTAAGTTTTGATCTCACTTGGATCCCGCATCCATACTCTCCCAGTCACCCACTGCCCCTGAGCCCCGGCTACAGAACAGACCAATTACACAGGCATTTACCAGCACACGCAGCCCAGATGTGCAGGGTGGGGGCAGACCACCCGCGTCTCAGGGGCTGTGCGGGAGAGCAGCCTGCACAGGCTTTGAGCTGACAGGGCCTGGGGCCTGAGCACCCGCCTGCAGCCTCCCCGAGCCCCAGCCCACCCAGAGCCCACAGGGTAAACTCCACTTGACTTTCCTCCTGCTGGGATCTCAAGGGAATCCTGGCCTCGGTTCTCCTTCGGTAAACACACTTCACTCAACTTTCAACAGGAGTAAAGGGCGGGAGAGAAGTAGTACAACAGGTAAGGCACTTGCCTTGCATGTCGTCAGGCTGGGTTCGAGCCCTGGTGCCTCCTACCCCGGAGCCCCTCAGAGATTGATCCCTGAGCCAGGAGTTAGCCCTGAGCACCCTGGGCGTGGGTGACCCCCAAAGCAAAACCAAAAGGGCATGAATGACCCACTGCCTCTGGCCCCTCCTGCCCCAAGCATCGGCCTGCCCGCTGTCCTGGGCCTGGCTCCTCTGCTCCTGGCTCCTGGACCCCGCCAGAGCCTGCAGCCTTGCCCACCTGTTCCTAACAGCCCATTCCTAGCTGAGTACCACAAGGCCTGGGCCACTGAGCCACTGGGCCGGGCGACCCGCTGCTCTGAGAAAGGGGCTGAGGAGTGGGGCTCGGGGGGTGGGGGTGGGGGTGGGCGTCACAGGCAGGCAAGCAGCACCCCACCCACCCAGGGCCCTGACCAGATACAGGGAAAGGACACAGGGTCCAGCTCTCCGGCGCTTATCTGCAGTCCAAAATTCACGGGCAGGCGGGTGCTCTCCGCCCGGTGCCCGGGCACTGGCCCTTCCTGCTTTGCAGACAAACCAGCTGCAGGAGCGAGCAAGGGGCCCAGCCCAGGAGGAGGAGGAGGTGAGCTGGG